TAGTTCATCAGTTTGTGTGTTGAAAAAGATAAACAATTAAAATATTAAAGAAGGCGAATCTTAATTCCGTGAAAATCGAGAAGCGAAATATTCTGTTTCAAATGTTGTACATTTCTGTTATCTAATATAATATAATAAAGATATTGCGTTTATTTGGATCTGACATTGTTAATATTGATATATTGATTCTTCTTGATATAATAATTTATTTAAATTTCTACAAAAATGAGTAATGAAGCACCTGTTGATAAAAAATCTAAAATAAATCCGAACAACTTCAATATCAATAAATTGAAGATAATCCTTCATGAAGATTTTGGGTAAAAGATGTTCCTAATGAATCTACAAAATTTTCTTTCAAGGCCTGTGAAAGCACATTAATTCGTTGTCTTTCAAAAGTAAAGAAACATTCTAAGAGAGAAAAGCGTTTAAAAAATTTGAAGAAACAAAATTTTAGTTTTAATATTTTACTAATCCTGAAGGGACAAATGGAACAACCATTTTATCGAAATAGTTAATTCAAAACAACCTTCATTAAACTCATTAGAACATTTTGATTTTCGAAAACGTGTTGAAGTAAGATTAGTGATATTTTTTGTTGAAAAGAATATCATATCATTCGTTATCGTATTTAATTTACTTTCGTTCATGAAAAATATCTGAAGAGAACCTGCTATTTTACAAGCAATATCTTTAGAGAGAAACAAAATAACAAAAGTTTTAATAACGTCATCTGTCGTCAAAAGACAAATAGAATTTCAAAAGGTTTGAGANCGAATACTAAAAAAGTTGAATGTGCATTTCCTGTAATACTGGATGTGAAAACAAGGAAAAAAAGTAATATGTCAATTAAGACATTAAATTCAATTTGTACTATAAAATATGCGTTAAAACATAATAATAATACAGCTCATGCCATGGCAGTTATATTTGAATATTTAGATCTCATGAAAATATTTATAAACTACTCAAGTCTGAATAGAAAAACAATCTTATATTTCATGTACAAGACAGTGTATATAATACTTACAAGAGATCGCACATAATATTTATCACTGAGATATGTGGAAAATATTATGTCTATAAGAGAACTCATGTCTACAAAAGATATCACATCTATCAAAGATAGGTACGTAACAAATACAATCTCTGTGAGAGACATCCTGTTTATAAAAGACATCACATTTATTGAAGACGAAAGTGTGTGAAAAATATTATATCTGCCGAGAGTTATCGTGTCTATAAAAGACATCCTACTTGTGTGTAAAAAATAATGATGTGCATAAATTATGTTTATGTTTCTCGCTATTAATTTTTATAGTGGAGGCCTTTATAGGAGAAACCACTTAAAAAAACGCGTCAATAATAATATCTCATGGGTGACTTGGAAACCTATTATCATAATGGTAATTATAATTTTACTCTTTTACTACTTTTATATATAATATTATTTATCATATATAGTTATAATTATTATATTAAAGAGAAAAAAGAGCGCCGAAACACTGACATATTCATGTATTTCATGTGGTTACACTCGTATAAATAATAATTATAAGTAACTTTTTTAAAATTACTATAAGTAATAACTACATATAAAATATAATTAATTGTATTTATAAAATATTTGTACAACCAATAAAGAGCAAATGAGACGAGGTAAGAAATACATGTACCCTGAATTATATTGATTTACTGTATCTTCTTAGTGATGAAATCATCAGTTAGACGTAACGATCAAGTAGTGAAAATCGGTGCGGTTGTCAACGTATTAAAAGTCCAAAAAGCAATCGTTGTTTCAAGCTCGCTTCTCGCGTCGGCTGTATTGAAACATGCGAACGAGTTAACTCCTCTACGTCTTTCATATCGCTCAGCTAGTTCGGCTCACTTCATTTTCCGAAGTCACATGAATCTTGAAGATCCTCGTTGACTACAGATATGTTATACATATTTGGTAATACCGTCAAATGGCAGAAACTCGATTTACCCACGTGATTGTGCATCACTGTGTCGAATATGACGAATATGCAAAATTTATTTCGCCAAAGCGGCTACGATTTTCTTACATCGTATTACATTTTTAAGATTATATGAATCCTTCGAGCAGTATGGGCTTATTTCTCTCTACAAATAGAAAGAAACACCACAGGGTACAAATGTACGGAGAGAAAAATGTAAGTTATTATATTATTAGGATTAATTCAATTGTTGGAAGAAATTTCTAAGAAAATAAAAATATATACACGAAAGTGTTATATATTTCTAATATCGCTCCTGCACGATATCAACAACGAAAAAAAAAATAATAACGGTCCGTATCCGCGCGAATTCATTTAATGCTAAATGTGACAGTTAAATCTTCAGTTACCAAGTTAATACAAATATTACGTTTAAACGTCAATTAGGAAATAGACTTCTATTTAGCGCTAAATGTACGACGTGAACACAGGCAGAATTCTTTATCTTTTCACTCTTTACACTTTCACGATCTATGCGCGTAAAGGATAAATGACTTTAGAAGTTGTCCTCCGTTATAATTTTATAGACATTTAAAGGTCACAGACTTTTGAAGTGTGAAATATCTTCTTCTCGCTTCTGATATCGCGATACACATCCAATATATTCGTAAGCACGTAGCCGTCCAAAGTAGATCGATTAATAAATATCTCTACAAAGCCGCGAGAAATAAATATTTCGCACGAGATGTCCGTTTCGATCGAAATGCGCCGCTATTTCTGTCGGTTACCGTCGTTAAAGCTGGTTCGCTAATCACGCCTATCGTTCGGGCTATCTCTCTTCGTACGTGATAACATCGATATTTATTTAATTATTCAATACACCGTGGAACTGTACGAGCGTGATCGTTCACGTAAAATGAGAAGAGAGCACGAAATGAAAAGAAACACCCTTTTTGTGACCAGAGTAAGCACTTTTCTTAAACACAAGAAATGTCACGCGAGTTTCCCGTGAATGTAGAAATAACGTAGCGTCGCACAGACTGATCGGGCTTCTTCCCGATGCGCGATGAATTTGAAACACGTCGTAGCGTGATCCAATTTTCCGGAAATATAGTTGGCAATTAAAAGATCGGACAGCTAGAAAAAATGCATAATTAAAATTAGAAATAACTCCTTCGAACTGGCACGATGTTTCCTTCTCTCTCCCCCTTCCCTCTCTCTCTCTCTCTCTCTCTCTCTCTCTCTTTCTCACTTTTCTTCTTTCTTTTGCACATTTTTCGTTGGAAAATAGNTTCACTCACTCACTCTCTCTCACTCTCTCTCTCTCTCTCTTTCTCACTTTTCTTCTTTCTTTTGCACATTTTTCGTTGGAAAATAGATTGTAACGCATACCGGATGGTCCAAAGCATATCTCGAAGAAGAAACACGAGCGCGTCTCACATCGGCGATGATCGACGGACATTCAAAATCGCGATCTGCGATAATAAAACATGTCGTAAATGAGAAAATCTTCGATTCCTCCCCGTTTTTTTCTCTTCGCTAATTAGAGTCTTTAGAAATAAGAGTCTGGTTATCGAAACGGTTGTGTAATAAAATAACGTCTGTATTGCAGAACACACGCGTTTATTTGAATTTTATATTGTTTTGCATAAAGAATTTATCTTTGTGAAAAATACAATTATTATATCGTATCCTGCAATATTAAATTAATGTCAATTATAAATCAAATCATTTGATATTTACAACACAATGTGTAAGTTGAATAAAATTAGAATTCTGATCTTAGGAGTTGACAATTATTATATGATATTAAAAATAATTAAGCTAATAACAAATATACATAAGCAGGAATCAACATTAAACAGTTGAAATCATTTCCAAACATTCCTATTGAACCGAAAACAAATGTCCATTTTTGTAATATTCAGATAGATGTGTTTGGTGCTACACCGTTTCTAGTACTGTTAAGCATGATACTGCAACTTGTGAACTATGTATAAATTCAGTCGCATCTAAAAATTATATTAGTGCGAAATATTCAAAATTAGTGTATTTAGAATGTTGCAGAAAAAATACCTTATTTTTTGTTACCAAACAAGTTGAATGAATATATTTGGGAGTGGAGATTGTTATCTGTCAATACCTTCTGTATTTAAGAAATAGCAACTGTAATTTTATCCATTTCTTTTTCGAGAAAATATAAACAATCAAATGTGAAATGATAAAAAATTGTCATCAATTGTCTTATACATTAAAAATGCGTTTTTTACTCAATATCGGATGAAAATTTCATATTGAAGTCAATTGAAGAATATAATGTGTACAGCAAAACGAAGGCCATGAATTCTGCAGTTAAATAATTTTTATGTAATTAAATTATTTTTGGAGATACTATTAATTTTATTGAATATTAAAAATGTTAACCTCTTTAGGGAATTTTAAATATAATATTTGTTTTAATGGATCTGCTTTAATGGAGTACACAAAAAACGAAGATACCTTATTTGCGAACCGATTTATGTAGTCATTATGGCCTACTTTGATAACGTTTAATTTTTAAATTTTAAAAATTTTTGTAATTATAAATAACGGTTAATTTTTAAATAAAACTAAACGTATACATATGTGTCAATATCCCTGAAGAGATTAATGAAATGAGATGTTATTTTTATGAGAATCATACATTTACGATTATAATTATCCTGTCATTTGTAATATTTCTCCTATTTCAATTTACCTCATTTTTATGATATTTCCAATTGGTTCCGCCATTTAATTACAAGGTTTGATTTCTATCAATACGCGCGAATACGGAAAGTGACCAAATTCTTACTTCTGAGGACTCTATTCGCGATTTCTCTTCGAGCGCTCCTCTGTTCCAAAAAATCCGTCCTTCGTTAAATCTGACCCTTTTTGTTTATTATTTGGTCCAGCCGGTATATATAATATATTTGGGTCTGCCACCTGAATTAAGAATTGTCTACTACTTTTGTTCGAGATTCACGGAGAGATCATCACGCCGGATAGAGCGGTGTTGCTTTATCACGTGACGTTGATCTCCTCGTCCTCCTCGTTCTCCGTCTGTTCCTCAGGCCTCTGAGGGCTCGTGAGCGGACTGACGTCGCTCAGGTCCATCCTCGGTCTATCGCCGTCGGCGTCGCTCAGATCCGGATTCGGGTTGTTCTTGTTCGGTAACGTCTGCTCGCGCGAACCACCGGTTGCCAGCAGCTCCCGCTCCTTACTGTTCCTCCACTTCATACGTCGATTTTGGAACCAAATCTTCACCTGCGAACACAACGTGCGCGCCCGGGCCGTTAACAGTTTGCGGTGAAATCTAATCGTGAAGGCATTTCTCCACCTCTCTCTCTCTCTCTCTCTCTCTCTCTCTCTCTCTCTCTCNTCTCTCTCTCTCTCTTTATGAAACTATTGTTCTATTACTAGAAAAAATATATACAAGATATATTTGTGGAATATAGAATGTTCATGGAATATTTGTAGAGAGTTTTTAATTATTAAAAATCGATATACAGGATTAAGGGGCCGGTCTGACAATGCAGAGAAAGGGTTGTCAGCAATCACAAGGAAACATACGGAAATGTCCCTTACCGATTTCGATAGGCTTTGAATATGTTATAAAACAATTACAAATTAAATGCATATACTTTTTTATTTATTTCTTCGCATTTAGGAGTTAAAACGATTTCTTAAAGGGAATTTTGGAGAATATCTTCGAAACCGAAAAGTGTATGAGAAAATGTTCTATAGACAAAAGTTTTATGGTATTTAATATTATTTTATAATTTTGTATTTTTGAATCTTTCAAAAGAGTCTTCTATTTTTCGTATGAGTGTTGGAGATGTGTAAAAAGAAATCAGAAGTTTGAAAAGCCTAAATACACAATTACAAAGAACATAGAATAACTGCGGATTGAAATATCTTTCGCATGCCTCATAATTTCTAAGATATTCGCTCACATGACTCATTGAATTTTATCGCATTTCCTTTGAATAATCTTTAAAGGTATAAAGAAAATTTATGTTTCTTATTTTTAGTTATTACAGAATTTATTATTACATAATAAAAATGGATCAATCGAAACAAATAGAAGATCGAGTTAAACGAAATCAAATTTAAAGTTGTACGTGACAAACAAACTATTCTAATTCACTTAGCAGAATTTTTAATCTTTATTTTTTTGATCTCCTGTTTGTGTGCATGAAGAAACAAGATTAACTGAATTGAAATGACAATAAGAGGACGTGTGCATGAAGAAACAAGATTAATTAACAACTAAACGTATTTTCATGAATCAGAAATTCTATTTTTTTTTCAACCAAAGCACGTTTGGTTTGTTTATTAAGACGTTAACTTTCTATTAGTCGCAATATTCCATAGATATTATCCTAATATTTGTCAATTTGTTATTCACTGTTTTGTACCTTTACTGCCAAGTCTATTAGCCAAGTGCTAATAAAAGAAAAATTACTTCAAGAAACAAACTAAAAGAGAAAAATAATGAGAAAACTAGTATATCTGTAAGATATATTGCGAC